GCGGCCGCGGACAGTACACAACACTACACAACACTACACGACACGCCCTCCTGACACGACTCAAAACTCAGCCACATTGCCTGTGACTACCCGATCTGCAGNTTATTATTAGGGCCGGGACTCGATTAAAAAAATTAATCTAATTAATTAGAGGCTTTGTAATTAATTAATCGAAATTAATCGCATTTTTAATCACATATAGTATATGTGATTAAAAATGCGATTAATTTCGATTAATTAATTACAAAGCCTCTAATTAATTAGATTAATTTTTTTAATCGAGTCCCGGCCCTAATAATAACACTTAAAAAATGTTGACTGAGGTTTTCATAATTCATGCATGTTAAGCAGTTTGTGTCTCAAGTAAAGCAATGCATCAAAAAGAGTAGTTACCCATTGCCTACAGTCGTGATCACCTTACCGTTACTTAAGCAGTTTGTGTCCCCTCAAGTAAAGTAATGCATCAAAAACAGTAGTTACCCATTAAAGGTGGGGTAGGTAATTCACTTCAGAAAAACTTTTTGTTATATTCCATGGAATGCTCTTAACATCCCGATAGCAATGAATACATTAAATGCTTTGACAATAAACACATTACAAAATGTCTTCTGTGGAAGCCGTGGCCCTGTAAAAAGCATGACTAATTATTTTAGCTGGCCCGGCTAAAATAACTGGAAGGCCTACCTGCCTGTCAGCCTTCCATCTGTGCACAAACTTATCTAGTGCCCTCATTGGTCATGTGCACGTTTGTGTGTCGGAGGAGGGGCTCTGTAAGGAAGTCTGAAGAAAGGGGAAGATTTTTTTCGGCTGCGTACTTTCAAATTCTAGCGCACTCGAGCTGGTTGCTCGATTCTTACCTACCCTACCTTTAACTAATAATTTCTTCACCATTATCTTACCATTAGTCAAGCAGTTTAACAAACAAACAAACACTGTTCATGACAATGACGGATCTACAGCTCAAGTTTACATTTTAATTTAAACAACAATCCAAATGTTATGAACACATTTGATATAAATGAGGAACATAAATAAACAAACTGAATTTATTAATGACAGTAATAACCAAAACGAGGTTGCTTTTGTATCTAGAACTTGTGAAAGTGGCGTATGTCATGCAACAATCTGCCGGGGACCATCTTTGTGTTCATTTGCCAGCCAATGTGTCCACTCTATGAAAGAACAATGACTCTTCAGAGTCTTTACTGTGCAGTTTCCCAGCAGTCTCCAGACCTGGGACTTGTATATTGACCAAGCCCGCTCAATCTTTTGGGTGTGGGCTCCTGTGTCTGGGTCCACAAATGACTGGCTGTTACAGAGAAAAGGCCAAAGCCACTTTCTGCGAGTGCAGTCATTTACCAACCCTGACTCCTAAAAATTACGTTCCCACAGTACTAAACTTCATTCTCAATTACGTTTAGCAAGA